ACTGATAGCAATGCAATAATAGTAGGGGACTATAACTCTCTATTTATATCAATGGATAGATCATCCAAACAGAAAATCAACAAGGAAACAGTGGCTTTGAATGACACATTGGACCAGGTGGAACTAAAAGATATATTCAGAATACTCCATCCTAAAATAGTACAATTCACATTCTTTTCAAGTGCACATGGGAACGTTCTTCAGAATAGATCACATATTAGGACACAAGATAAGTCTCAATAAGAATCATACCAAGCATATTTTCCATCCACAATGGTATGAAATGAGTAATCAACCTCAAGGAAAAAATCTGGAAAGAACACAAATACATGGAGGTTAAGTAACATGCTCCTAATCAATGGATGGATCAACCAAGAAATGAGAGAGGAAATCCAAAAATACACACACACACACACACACACACACACACACACACAAATGAAAATAAAAACACAATGTTTCAAAATCTCTGGGATGCAGCAAAAGCTATTCTAAGAGTGAGAATTATAGCAATACAGACCTACCTCAAGAAGCAAGAAAAATCTCAAAAAAACCAACTAGCCTTGCACTTAAAGAAGCTAGAAAAAGAAGAATAAAAAACAGTTAAGAAGGAAATAACAGGTTTAGAGCAGAAATAAATAACAGAAACTAACAACTAAAAAATTTAAAAAGCTAAAAAAAAAAAATAGAACAGATCAATGAAACCAAGAACTGGCACTTTGAAAAGATCAACAAATTGATAAATCTTTACCTGGATTCATCAAAGAAGAAAAAGAGAGAGAGAGAGAGAGAACTCAAAATCAGACGTGAAAGAGGAAGCATAACAATGGACACCACAGAAATACAGATTATAAGAGAATATTATGAAATATTGCATGTCAACAAACTGGACAACCTAGATGAAATGGATAAATTCCTAAAAATATATAAGCTCCCAAACCGAATCAGAAATAAAAAATTTGAACAAACTGATTACCAGCAATACAATTGAACCAGTTCTCAAAAAAACTCCCACCAAATTCCAGAACTATATGACTTCATAAGTAAATTCTACTAAAACCCTGCTTTCCATTACTCTGTCCTCCAGGTTGCTGATTCACTCTTCATCTTCCTCTAGTCTGTTATTTATTCCATTTAGTGTATTTTAAATTTCAGTTATTGTGTTCTTCATTTCTTTTGGTTCTTTTTCATGTTTTCTATCTGTTTGTTAAGGGTCTCACTAAGGTCCTCCACATTTTTCTCAAGTCCAGTGAGTGTCTGATGACCATTACTTTGAGTACTTTATGAAGCATATTACTTACCTCCACTTCATTTAGGTCTCTTGCTGTGATTTTGTCCTGTTCTTCATTTGGGACATATTCTTGTCTCATTATGTTTAACTCTGTGTCTATTTCTATGTGTTAAGAAAATCAGTTACATCTCTGCTTTTGAAAGCAGTGGCCTTATGAGGCCACTTCCTACCTTCCTACCCTTTTCAATATAGCCTCTTCTCTACACTTAGCTGGAGAATCTGTTCTGCTAGTCTTTGGGTCATTTTCTGGGTTATTTTCATTGATGTTGGGGTTTTCTAGGTGTATCTGTGGGATAAATGAGTTTAAGGTCCTCCTATTCTGCTATCTTCCCTGGAAGTCTCTATACTTTGTTAAACTCAAAGAGAGAGAGAGAGAAAGAGGGAGAGACAGAGAAAGGTTAGAAAGAACAGGCATAGCATATCCCAAGGAAAAATACTAAGGACTATTATTTGCTTCAAATTGTCACCAGTGGATTTCTACATATAAATATAATGAATGTATTTCACTATGTGCCAGGGAATGCTTGAAAAGAAATGAAAGAAAAAAATATATTTAGAATAATCTAAACAGCTTAAAAATACCTATTTTAAAAGAATCTTAATTCAGAAAGTACATTAATTATCAAGTCTAAACTCACTTTATATGTCTTATGGCAATTGAAATTGAGTGATTTGCTCTGTATCATTTATCTGCTTATCATAGATGTAGAATTTGAGTTTCTCACACCATTCTGTGGATTCCCACTATTTTCCTATCACTGTTAATATGACATATGCAACCATTTTGATGTTTTAAGAATGTGTGAAAATTAATGCATCTTCAAAGCTTGAGCCTGCTCACCTGTATGGAATACAAGTAGCATTTTATAACAGGAACTTTGGAAAAGAATTTACATTTGAATTTTTGGGGGGCATCCCATTCTCAATTGGTGACTTTTAATCAGGGTTCTCCAAGGAAACAGACCATCAAGATATATCTATATTGATATCTGTATGTATCAATATCTATATCAAGAGAGAAAGATTTGGTAAAAGAAATTGGCTGACATGATTATGGAGGCCGAGAAGTCCCACAATCTGCCACTTGCATGGTGGAGGCACTAAAAAGGTGGTGGCAAAGGCCCGAGAATCAGGGAAATAATGGTGTTAAGTTCAGTTCAAGTCCAAAGGCCCAAGAACCAGGGAGATGATGCCACAAACTCCCCCGTTATTAGTGCAGGAAAAGGACAATCTCAGCTCCACCAACGAGGCAAAAGAGGAATTCTTTCCTCTATATTTTCACTCTGATAAGACTCTCAATGATTTCGGTGGGGCCCACCAAGATTGAGAAGGAAAATCTGCTTTACACAGTCTATAGATTCAAAAGCTAATCTCATCTGGAAACACTCTCATAAGCATGCCCAAAAATAATGTTTGGCCAAACATTTGGGCATCCCATAATCTAGTCAAGTTAACACATAAAATTAATGTTCACAGTGATGTTAAATTGCTTAATTTTTCTGAGCCTCAAGTTATTTGTCTGCAAAATGGGGGAGGTACTATCTATTCCAAGGGTTATATAAAGGCTTAAACAAGATACACTTAGGGATCAATGCAATTTAGCACATGACTATTCAATTAATGCCAGTTCCTTTTGCTTCCTCTTCCTGAATTGCTAATAAAAAGATCCAGTTACATCACCCTATAAGCCTGTTATGGATTGAATCATATCTTCCCAGACCAAAAAAAAAAAAAAAAAAAAAAAGAAAAGAAAAGCCTCCTAACTCTCACTACCTCATAATGTAACTGTATTTAGAGGTAAGTTTTTAAGAGGTTTTCTTTCTTTCTTTTTTTTAAATACAGTTTGGTTATTTATTTATTTTTTAAATTTTTATTGTGTTATGTTAGTCATCATACAATACATCATTAGTTTTTGATGTAGTGTTCCAAGATTCACTGTTTACATAATTGAAATTAGATCATTAGTGGGGGGGTGCTAATCCATTATGAATGGTATGCTTATAGAAAGGGAAACATTTTGATGCAGACAGACAGACAGATACACACAGAGAGAATGCTGTGTGAAGATTAGAGCTGTGCTGTCATAAGCCAAGCAAATACCAGAAAGTAGGAAAGGGGCTTAGAACAGATCCTTTCCTGGTATCTTTAGAACAAGCATGGCTTTGCACCTTGATATTAGACTTCCAGCCTCCAGAACCGTGACACAATAAATGTTTGTTATTCAGGCCATCCCATTGGGGGTATTTTGTTACAGCAGCCCTAGGAAACGCATACACCTGTATTTCTTAGATTGGCCATTACTTGTAATGACATCTCATAGAAACAATTCTTCATTAGCCCTTATGAGGATATATAAGGTGTTTCTTTTCCAATTTCAAGGAGAGTAGGTCTGAAACCTCTTCTGGCCTCTCAGTTAACATGCTTCTCAAGAGTAAAGAAGGTATTTGAGCCCCGCGTCGGGCTCTCTGCTCAGCAGGGGGCCTGCTCCCACCTACCCCCCCAGCCTGCCTTTCTGCCTACTTGTGGTCTCTGTCAAAAAAAAAAAAAAAATCTTAAAAAAAAAAAGAGTAAAGAAGGTAAGGTAATTCCCTATTATATCTGATTTAAAAAAAAAGATTGTATTTATTTATTTGATAGACAGAGAGCATGAGAGCTCATGAGTGGGGGAGGGTGGAGGGGTAGAGGGAGAAGCAGACTCCCCACTGAGCAGGGAGCCTGATGTGGGACTCAATCCCAGGATTCTGGGATCATGACCTGAGCCAAAGGCAATCATGTAACTACCTAGGCTATTCATACAGACCATGGGTTGATAGAATAGATAGGTGGATGGTTGGATGAATGGATGGATGGATGGATGGAGAGAGAGATGATAGATAATAGACAGGTAGGTAAATAGAAGATAAAGGAAGAATAATCTGTATTTCTATCTCTGTATATATGTCTGTATCTGTATCTCTCTTATCTATATCTATCCTACTTTTTAAGAAACGTAGTAATAGCATAAGCTTCTCTGCTCCATTTTGTCAAAAACTTGCTACAAATATCATTTTAATAAAATTTCCATGTCGTACTCTCTCATATGTCTGTATTTACTATGATTTGCCAACCATAATGTGTTGTTAGGCAGTTAATGCCCCTTCTTCTTTTTGCCATATTTTTTCAAACAAAACTTTGTCCACATTTCAGAATATTTTCTTAAAATAGTGTACCAGAAAGACAATTATTAGACCAAGGTTATAAACATTTTTGATATTCTTGATACTTACTGCCAAATTGCTTTGCAGTAAAGCTGGTGTTCTTTCCTTTGGGGCTTAATCCCCAGACAATCCTTTGTAAAGAGAGAAGGAAATAAGTTCACATAGAGCAATGGGAGTGCTAGCATTCAGCTGCCACAAACAGTTAATGATTATTTCCTTACAAAAAAGCTCAAAGCCCTGCATAGTGTACCTATAACAGGCAGGTAATTTAAGCAATCTCTGGATCCATCCTCCTGGAACCCAACATAAAAATGCAATGTGGGATATGAAATTGTCGGCTCCGGTACTGAACAGAAGTCATCTCTATCCCCTCCATTCTCTGGGTTGTTTCTCCTTGAGTGTTTAGCTCAGAGATAATTTTCAGTAAACTATTGTCACTTGAAAATAAACAGTCTGGACAATGTATGGTCCATTTGGAATACTGAGAAAGTAAACAACTTAAGATATGCTTCCTTCTTGTCTTTGCAGCCCTTTCTGGAATGTGTACTCCAGATACTTTACTTTCTTCCCTAAAGCAGAAGTTTTATTTAAAATAAAGCTACTTCTTTGGCACTTCTGGGTAATCCTTTTTTGAAGAACCACAGCAATGAACGGTTTGGGAGCCCTCCTTCGAAGAAACCAGTCCATCCTTCTGGTGCTCTTTCTTTTGCAAATCCAGAGTCTGGGTCTGGACATGGATGGTCATCCTACCACTGAAGTTTGTGCCACACACACAATTGCACCAGGACCCAAAGGTGAGAAAAGCAAAGCAAAATGTTCATATATAATAAGTGAACTCTCTTCCCTCCTCCCTCAATCCTACTGTAACTCTGAATGACTTTCTGTTCTCCCTAGTGTCCTCCTTCTTTCCTCCTATTTTGGAAAACCAATGGCCTATTATTTAGGTAAAAACCTTCCTTGATGTTAGGTAGGAGAATGTTGGCAGGGGGCGGACCTCACCCAGGGCACGGGAAAATTCCCTCTTCCATGCTGTTCCAGGGGGAAGGTACAAAGCCAAGACCTTAGTGTTTCAGGAATGCTTTTCTTAAGACACTCTCTATTCTTCAGCTGTTTTTATTCCAATGCCTTTCTAAGCACAGATTTTGGTAAAATTACCAGGCAAAAACCTCAGTACAGAGAAAATTAAATCTTTCATATATTTCATCAATTAGTGGGCTTCCTACGAAGAAGAAAATTTTTGTCAAGGATTGCAGATAGTGTATAAATGAAATTTCTTCATTGAAAGTGGAGTCTTTGAGGCCAAGTGCCTTCAGCTGAAGGATGATAGACCATTGCGGAATTTTTTCAAGTAGAGCCAAGGTCTAAATGTGCTTTAAGCAACTGGTTGATAATAGATGCTGTTTTCCTGGTTTTAGTTCTGACCCTTTTGTTCTGAGAGTGGTCACTGCAGTGCAAATTTGGTGCTCCCTTATTAGTAATTCATGCTATGTTTCTCCAGGCTATAGGATAGAAGAATTGCAGCTGCTTAAAATTTTAAGTAGAAAAAATGGGTCTTTCAGAAAAAAGTAGAAATACATCGCCCTATGCTTGTCAGTTATTTAAATGTGTATTGCTGAAAGTGCATTTTTCTTAATCAGTGAATTAATTTCCTCCAAAGATTGCAATCCAGGCTTTAACCTTTGATACCATAAAATAAACGCCAGGGAGGAACAATGAGACCTTGGGGCTTCCAGATAATTTCTTGGGTGAATAAATGAATAATGTGTGGGCAAATGTTCAGAAAAGAAAGTTTTGATTAGAAATAAAAGTATTTACTTAAAACTATTACTGGACTTTCCAATAATGTACCTGAAACTTTGTTATTCCTGGGGTAGCAGGGAAAATGCTGAAAATTAAAGTTTCCCTTGTCCCTGCAAATGGGAGAGTCCATTTGAAAACTGCACCATCAAAACAATTTTTCTTGCCCAGAAACTACAACTTTCAAGCTAAAAGAATGGACAAAGTATCGTCAAAATGACATCCCAAATATCCTGCATTCCAATACAACAATTCTATTTATTCCAATTCAGCCAACATATACTGAATACCTATTAAGTACTGAGCATTATTTTAAGCATAAGAGACACATTAAATAACATATATTAAAAATAATATATATTATTATCATGAGTAGTAGTGAAACAAAAAATTTAGGAGGGAGGAGAGGGCAATTAATTTTTATTGGATACCAGCAGCCTATTCATCGTAAGTCTTCCTACCCTCATTTCTTTTTTTTTTTTTCCTACCCTCATTTCTTAATGCAAAACTTACCCCTTCCCACTAGAAACCTTGCTAAGATTTCAAACAATGTAAATCTTTCACTCTTTTCCTGAGCTTGTGTCCTCTAGAACTCCGGGGGTTCCAAAACTAAGTCTGCTGGGAATCTGTTATGATTTCTTCTTCCACCAGAGTCAGAGGACTTTGCATCAAAATGAATTCTGAGTTCCCTTCTTCTTCTTTTTATTCTTTAAAATTTATTATTTATTTATTTGACAGAGAGAGAAGGAACACAAGCAGGGGGAGTGGGAGAGGGAGAAGCAGGCTTCCCGATGAGCAGAGCGCCTCATGCCGGGCTTGATCCCAGAACCCTGGGATCATGACCTGAGCTGATGGCAGACACTTAAAGACTGAGCCACCCAAGTGCCCCCTGAGTTCCCTTTTTAAAGAGATTCCACAGTTCTGGAAAGGAATGTACAGAATTACATTCATCCTACATCTCAGGCCTCATGTTAGGTGCTAAAATTAAAGCTCTTCTCCTAGAACTTGTCTACATTTCAAAATGAGTATTAGATTGCAAACTCTTGGACTCAGGGCTCAGTTAATGCCCTTTTTTCTTGGCAAATTGCCGTTATTCGTGCAGATGGAGCACCGTGCGCATGCTCATTTCCGCCCCTTTGCCCCCCAGGCGTTGCGCCGGATGCCATGCCTACAAGTGAAAAACAAGACTTCATATTCATCTCCACTCAACATATAAACTGCCATCTACCCTACCTCGTTCGTTCATGAACGTGATAATAGCTGCTCCCTACCCCTGAACAAGGCAGATTTGCGTATTTATTTCTACAAAAATAAAGTGCTAATGATAAAGAAAAGGGAAAAAAAAAAAAAAAGCTTGATGGCCGAGGAAACATTTTAAAGGAATGGAATTATTGCTTCTGTTCAATATATTTTTCTTAAGAGCAGGCTGGTCTATATTTTTCTCCATGGCTAATCATGTCAATACCATAGTTCCTTCCCGGCACTGTGCTCAGAAACTTCTAGAAGCTCTGAGAAACAATAAAAGGAGTTTCCCCTGAATTCATTTGGGAGGCTGGGAACTAAAGAAACTATTTAGAGTTAATGTTAACCTGTCCTATATTATGTTGCCCAAGATAGACTCACCATTTTCTTACTGCATTATTTCCCAAGCATGACTTGGTGGGAAGAAAGATATTGAATTAAATCTGTTTGATCTTCAGTATGCTATTACATCTACTTATGCTTTAGTTTCTTTATTTGAAAAGTGAGCTTCATTAGAGAACTGTTTTAAGAATAATATAAGCTAACAAATGTAAACTTTAAGCCATGTAGACATCATAAATAGATAATTAAATTCTATTTATCTTTCCTCCTTCTCCCTATTTACCTAAGTCTGCTGAGTAACAATTATGGGAGTAAGCAATGTTCCAATTATCAAAACTTCTTTGTTGAAATCCGTCTTTATTTTTCTCTCTATGCCTTAAATTTATTATTTTATGCTGTTTAGTAGAAAAATGTTCTTTCCCACCTGCATCTACTCTTGAAACAATTCGTGTAAAATTCTGACCTCTAGTGGTATTTCTTGAAAACAGCAGTGGCAAGAAATTTCAGCAAGAAAATGTAAATTTTAGCAAGAAAAGAAATGTAAGAGCAATAAGAAATATTTGAGTGATGATTCACTATTTCCAAAGCATTTTCAAGTACATTATCTTGTTTAATGTTCACAATTGCCCTATGTGGTAGCAATTACTTTAAACTTAAAAGATAAGGAAATAATCTCAACAAGGCCAAGTGGAACTCTCAAGGTCTCTCACATACCTATAGAACAGATAGGCAACTTGAAATTTAGTCCCGGCCTTCCGGCCCTGGGTCCAGTACCATTCCATGACATCCACTGGTTTCTAGTAGAATCAGGTTTGAAAATAGAGTCCACTGACCTTTGTGTGACAAGAAATGGATGCGACAATTAAGAACACCATGTTCAGGCCACCTCATAGCTCAACATGGTACTGGATACTAAAATATGCTGAAGGTAATGAGATGACTCCTCTCTGATAATCAACTCCATTATTTCATTAGTCTGTTTGGAAATTAAAGATATGTTGCCTTATTGCTTATGTTGGCTTCCATTAGCCTTTTTGTTTAGGAGCTTTATTTTATTATTATTATTTTTTTTTTTTTTTCCCCAATGACTTTTGTGTGTGGCGTAGAAGTTCCTTTGCAATCCATCTGGCTTCTCCCTACTTCTCCCACATCAAACTACTTTTCCACCCATAGTCTGAATCAGGCATCCTTGCTTTGTCTCTCATTCCTGGCCCAGGATCTTTGGACTTGATGCTCTTTCTGTCTGGCCTAAATTTTCCTTTGTTCCAAGGATTGTTCCTTCTCCTCATTTAGGTTTTAGCTCAAATGCCATTCGCTCAGTAGGCCCTTCTGGATACCCACTCACTCTCTGGGTCCTAGCAATTGGCACAACCTGAGTTATTTCTGGGAATCTTCTCAGCCTCCAACGCAAACAAGCCTTCTCATGACTACCCCCAACAGATGGCCAGATATGCCCAGGAATGTGTAGATCACGTTCACAGCCAAATTGGGAGTCTCACTCCTGTAATGTAACTATCAGAGGTAACTTGGTTTAATCCCAGTTATTTTTGCATTTGTTAAAGCTGAAGCCCAGAGAGGTAAAATAACTTGTTCTGGATCACACAGTAATCAACTGGCAGCAGGACTAGAACTGGAACACCTATTTCCATCCCTGGGCCAGTCATCGGTCCATTCTGCCATGTTATATCATCATCCTCACGTTCCATCTTTCTCATTAAGCATGAAATGATCCTTCCTTTAGTTTTTTAAATTAACATTAGAAAAGGAGTTCTGTGGGGTCAATGCATACACATTATACGGAATTATTTTAGCTCGGTCACCTTGACATAAATTAAGTTGTTAATTTCTTTCTGGCGGCTTTACCAGAGAGGTTAAGCAAGTAGGTATTTTCCTAAGACCTTTATATTAACTATATTAATTCACTATATTCTTTCATTGAGAGTTTTATTATGTATTTTATGCATAAAGACAGGTTGAGATTTTAAGTGGCTTGGCCAGGGTGTTCTGAACCATTTTTTCCTCTCCTTTCCCTTTGGGTAGATACCAAGAAAGCATCTCAAGGTTAGATCAGAAAGGGGAAAGTAAAAGTCCAGTCAATCAAGGTATGGGCAAAGATGAGTCAGGATATATGATATGATAATGTTAAAGAAAAATTTAGCCTGTTTTATTTAAATAATCATGTATCCTTTACCCAGACCACCCCTTCCCTCAACTCCCTTGCACAATAACTTGGCTAGCCAACCATCACCGCTAGGGCCATAGTAGTAGTTTCCCAACAGGTACTTGCATGTTGGCAAAGATCATGGACTTTGAATCTGAGCTCTGCCACTTACCTGTCTATGAGACCTTAAGCCTCAGTGTCTTCATTTTTGAAATAGGGATAATGTTGTTATCCATCTCAAATGCTTAATTT